CCTTCGTTACCCGGGCAGTGTGTTTGGGATCATTGTCATGCTGGAAGATCCAGCCACGTTTCATCTTCAAGGCTCTCACTGATGGAAGGGGGTTTTGGCTTAAAATCTCACGATACATGACCCGGTTCATTCTTCCCTCAACACGGATCAGTTTTCCTGTCCCCTTTGCAGAAAAACAGCCACAAAGCATGATGTTTCCTCCCCCATGCTTCAAAGTAGGTATGGTGTTCTTGGGTTGCAACTCCTCATTCTTCTTACTCCAAACACGACGAGTTGAGTTTTTACCAAAAAGTTGTATTTTGGTTTCATCTGACCACATTATATTCTCCCAATCCTCTTCAAGATCATCCATATGCTCTCTGGCAAACTTCAGACGGGCCTGGACATGTACTGGCTTAAGCAGGGGGACACGCCTGGCACTGCAGGATTAGAGTCCCTCTCGGTGTAGTGTGTTACTTATGGTAGCCTTTGTTGCTTTGGTCCCAGCTCTCTGCAGGTCATTCATCAGGTCCCTCCGTGTAGTTCTGGGATTTTTGCTTACCGTTCTCATGATCATTTTGACCCCACGGGATGAGATCTTGCATGGAGCCCCAGATCGAGGGAGATTATCAGTGGTCTTGTACAGTGGCGCAAAAAGTGGGTATGCACTATATGCGGCGCATAGGAGCGCAGCACAATGGGGGGCGCCAAAGCGATGGTAAAAAAAAAATTATATATAGGCTATATTGTATTTCTATATGTAGCTGCCGTTGTCCGTTTCTAAATCATTTCTGCATTCCTTCAATGTTATATAAAATTTTAGAGGACTAACAGCCAGGCTAGAGTAGGCGCCCTCATGGAGAAGGGGGGCGGGTAATATCGCGAGCGGGCGGGGGCGCCGTGAGCGCTGAGCGAGCAGGTACGAGTAGTTAGTTGTCGTCGAAAAAGATGGATAAAACAAAATGCTGTGGGGCTAAAAATAGAAAAAGAAAGAGAGAAAAGGAGATGGCATGTCAATTGATGCAACAGCAGCTAAATAACTGCCTGCATTGCTGAAAGCCAACAGGTAGGATTTAAAATGTGACATCCAGGCATAGGCTATCATCGGGACTACCGGGAGATTCCCGCTGGGCCGACGTGCTTTTCCATTTTTAATTTATTTGTCTTAACGGCCCACAAAACTCATACATCGGCGGCCCATTTGTTTGTTTGTTGTTTGTTTTTGTTTTGTTTTTTGCTTAATTGGCGGCGCTGTGCTGGTGTAATGCATTGGTCAAAAAAGTCAGCTTTAGTTTTTTTTTTCTGACACACTGGCCCATGAAACATGTCATTATGCGCAAGTATCTTTCAAGTATAGAAGTTAGTGCAAAACTAATTATGAAAGTTTCCTTTATTTTTCTGTGCATTTGTTTTACAATAGCCTTAATGGCAATTACTATCATGGGATTAATATTATAACTATTATTATGTAGTAGTGTAATGTAGACAGACACTAACTAAAAGAGGTTCAAATTTTTCTCTGTTTAATTTGCACCCTGAAAATGGGTTGGAGCTTTTAATTTTGAACTCTCAAAGTGCACCAGACTGCTGAATTTAACATTACAGAACACAAAATTTTCTCACGGGGGAGCATGCCCCCGAACCCCCCTAGAGAAACAGAGGTCCACCTACCACAGGTTTACCTAAAATCCTGTGAAAAACACTGCTATTGCTGTTCCAATGGAGCTTATAGTTTTTATAGTTTAATTGTGTTAATAAACGACAATTTTGCACTTATTTTTTTCTGTTAGCTCTCATTTCTTCCTACTCAGTTATTACATAGCACACTTACATTACATTTATTTTATTTTTTTTATTTTTTTGGGGGGTTGGGGGGCGGAAAAATTGTTGCTGCATACCCCTCTGAAACTGGGTAGTTGCGCCCCTGGTCTTGTATGTCTTCCTTTTTTTTTTTACAATTGCTCCTACAGTTGATTTTTTCACACCAAGCTGCTTGCCTATGTAGATTCAGTCTTACCAGCCTGGTGCAGGTCTTCAATTTTCTTCCTGGTGTCCTTCGACAGCTCTTTGGTCTTGGCCATGGTTGAGTTTGGAGTGTGACTGTTTGAGGCGGTGGACAGGTGTCTTTTATACAGATAACGGGTTCAAACAGGTGCCAATAATACAGGTAACGAGTGGAGAACAGAAGAGCTTCTTAAGGAAGAAGTTACAGGTCTGTGAGAGCCAGAAATCTTGCTGGTTTGTGGGTAACCAAATACTTATTTTCCACCATAATTTACAAATTAATTCTTTAAAAATCCTACAAGGTGATTGCCTTGATTTTTTTTTTCTCATATTGTCTCTAATAATTGAAGTGTACCTATGATGAACATTACAGACCTCTCTCATTATTCTAAGTAGGAGAACTTGCACAATCAGTGGCTGACTAAATACTTTTTGGCCCCACTGTAACTTCAGATTTAAATGTCTTTGTGAATAGCATATATTGTGTTTTAGAGACTGAAAACTTTAGAGCCCAATCCAATGACCATTCTTCCACTTCTTTAATTGACTCCTGTTTACCTTTAACCACACTTTTAATATTACGGCCTCGCTTCCATAATGCTCCATCATCTGCATAAAGAGCCAATCCTATTCCTGGTTTATTCACTTTATCAAAATTATCATTTATCATTAAATTAAACAATAATTGGCTAATTGCACGACCCTGTGGAGTTCCATTTAGAATGTTACAAGGAGCTGATAATTCTTCCCCAATTTTCACATGAAAAGTGCGTTCAAATAAAAAATCTAAAACCCAATTTTAAAATTGGGTTGCCAACTATTCCAATTTTATTCCGTTTAATTAGCAAACCTTCCCTCCACAAAGTGTTATAAGCCTTTTCTATATCAAAGAAGGCTACATTCATATTTGATAGAAAAAAAGAAATAAATCACATGAACTAAATTAAGCCAAATTGGAGAAAAACAACAATCTTACATCAATAATAACAATCGCAATGTTCATACCCTTGGCATGGATATCTTCTGGCTCTTTGCCCTGCAGTAAAAAGCATATGTTAGATTTCTTCTAAGCATGCACAATAATTATTTAAGACCAAAAAAAGAAAAAGAAAAAGAAAATATTAATAGAGAAGTAATGACACCCCTGGTAAACATGTTCAAAACTGGCAGTAAAAAAATAAATCTGCATCACTTATCCTTTTGAACTTTCGTTCAAAAAATTGCCAAAAATCTAACCTTTCATTAAAAATAAAAGAATTGACAGTGTGTGGGGTTTAAATCACATTATGAAACAAAAAAAATTCTCCAAAACAAGTTGCATAGCTTTTGGGACCCAGAGAACACAGAGTAAACATAAAAGTAAGAGTAGATTTTTTTTAAATTATTTTTTATTACTTATAAAATAACTATAATTAATTGTAATTACATACAATTCACTTTGTGGTGCGTCATTTTTATGCCATTTCTGTTTAGACCAAAAAAAAAAAAAAAAAAAGAAGGAAAAAAGAAGAGATTTCAGCCCAGGGACGTTGGAACTATTTTGTGAGAGGGGAGGGCGGGATTCCGAGGGGGGGCGGGGGGGATGGGGGTCTGTCGGAATTACGCACCGTTTCAAAATATTGGTATTAAATCCATTTTCTGAGAATTTATCAGTCAACTTGTTGATTAAAACCATTGATTAAAATGAAATACAATTTATAAAAACGAAATTCTTTTAAAAAACATAACAAGTCAGAATTACTGTGGGCTATGTCTGACCCATTCCAAATGTTTTCCGAATATGGTGACTCTACTGATGGACCGCTCCTTGATCCATCAGTGCTTGAGTCACCATATATCGGAAAATAAAACGTTTTAAACATCAATAAAACATACTGTTAAGCAGAGCATCAATTTAGTTCGTTTAAATAAGAGATCTAGCGCTGGAGGAACGCTTGTTGCCGCTGCTGTCAGTTGTAGGCTATGCACAGTGTTCTCTGTGGCGCGCAGTCTTCACTCGGACGAGCACTTTAATCGCCTTTACGTCGGAGACTCTATTCATTCCGGTAAAATCACAAAATAAACGTGTCCTATGCTTGATATTGACTGTAACCACAGATGGACATATTCTGTTTTGATGAGAGAGAAAAAAAACTGTATCTAGCTAGGGCGGATTAGAACCTGTTACCTCTGGCCAAAAGATCTACCACTAGACCATTGAAACGGTCAAATTAACACTGGCGGATCGATGTATTTATTTATGGGTTGAGTAGAAAGGCTGCACAGTTTGAAAAGTTTGTACCCAGCACTTCCGAATACAAGGTCTCTCTGCCCAGCAAATTTCAAACTGACGCCCGTGCTTAGGTGAATTTAGGGGGGCGGCCCCTGTTCCAACGTCTATGTTTCAGCCAATAATTTTCAGGTTTAATGATATAGTTAATAAATTTGCAAATGTTACGATTATAAAAAATGAATCAAATTCAGGGATTTTTTTTTTTTTTAATTTATGAACATATACCTGATTGTTGTTGTTTTTTTGCATTTCTTTCCAGTCTTTTTTCATTTTGGTATTTTTTATTTTCTTTCCGCAAGTGTTCAAGTAAAAATATTTTTCAATCATTTTCTTGTTCTCCAACATATAAAACACAAATATTGCAGCATTTCACAGCAACACTAGTTTATTAGTTAACTAACTACACTTTTACTTTGTGAATCTAGCGCTGATGAAAGCAGACTGTGTTGTCGCCTCTCGTCGAAGTAAAAAGCTGCCCTTGAACACACCGAGAGAACTGCAGGCGACCGTCAGCTATAATGCGTTCTGCGCCTGCGTTTAATGAGCCAACTGTCTATTTCTGCAGATATTTTAGTCAATATTCGTCATTCAAAAAGGAAAACCGACGCTGCCGGCTGCAGATATACACACACCGTAAACCAAGCAGCGCGTGCTTACCGTTTTGAATATCAGTCCTGCTAAACACTTTCTTTATTCCACTCCACTCATGTTAATATTGAAATATTCGCCAAGGAACACTCAGGTAAGAAGACGTAACATAAGAACAGCCTTCTGTATTTACCGTTTTGACTTCTTTGCTCGCTGTTTTGCTTTTATTCTCGTGCCTGACTATTTCAATAAGCTGAAAAGCCAATCAGAGTTCTCTCTTTCCCCAACGGTGTGGGCGAAATAAAGCAGACGAGAACTATTTTTAGTTGGCCGACGCACAAAATCTGCCAAACGGCCGACCGTCGGCTTGGTGTGTTCCGGGCTTAAGCTTTTTCTCCAGTAGGAATTCTTTGGTGCCGTTTCAGATCATCAGATGTAGTAAAGCTCTTCCCACAGTCAAAGCACATAAAATCTCTCACTTCATTGTGTGTTTTCTGGTGCCGTTTAAAACTGTCCTGCCTTGAAAAACTCTTTCCACAGAGAGAACACACATAAGGCTTCTCACCTGAATGAACTTTTAGGTGTGATTTTAGACCTGATGATAAAACAAAATCTTTACCACACTGATCACAGTTAAATGGCTTTTCTCCAGAGTGACGGAGCAGATGAACACTGAGATTTGATGTTCGAGAAAAACTCTTTCCACACTGAGAGCATATATACGGTTTCTCTCCAGTGTGAATTCTCATGTGTGCGTCAAGGGTTCCTTTCTCTGTGAAACTCTTTCCACACTGAGTGCAGTCGTACGGCTTCTCTCCAGTATGAACTCGCTCGTGTGATTTCAGAGTTCCAGACCGAGTGAAACTCTTGTCACAATATGAGCACTTGTAAGGTTTTTCTCCAGTATGAATTCTTTGATGCAGTTTCAGATCACGAGATGTAATAAAACTCCTCCCACAGTCACAGCAAATATAATCTCTCACTTCATTGTGTATTTTCTGGTGCTTTTTAAAATTGTTCAGCCTTGAAAAACTCTTTCCACAGAGAGAACACACATAAGGCTTCTCATCTGAATGAACTTTTAGGTGGTGTTTTAGATCTGATGATGAAACAAAATCTTTACCACACTGATCACAGTTAAATGGCTGGGAGTGAATGAGCAGATGAACACTGAGAGTTGATGATTGAGAAAAACTCTTTCCACACTGAGTGCATGTAAACGGTTTCTCTCCAGTGTGAATTCTCATGTGTATGTTAAGGTGTCCTTTGTGTGTGAAACTCTTTCCACACTGAGTGCAGGTGTGCGTCTTCTTGGCTTTTGTTCTTTGAATTGTAAAGTTACGATGTTCCTCCTTCACTTCATTCAGTTCTTGTCTTTGCTCTTTCACTCTCACCTGGTCTAAAATACATAGAAATACAGTTCGAATCAGTTCAAGTGAACCCTTATTTAATAGCAGAAAACAACAAAGATCTTTCACTTTCTGTTCTGTCATTCATGGTTAATATAGTAAAAATATGTTAGCAAACTGCTACAAGGTTATGATCATTTAGATGTATTTCTCTAACATTTATCATCCATATACTGCTTATTAATTCACATCTACCAAAGTATCAACAATGAAGAATCAAGAATGGACACCAACCTATTTGTTCCTCAGTATCTTCATGTTTTATTCTGGATGGTTCTGGATCACTCATGTCTTCAATCTCCTCTTTAATAAACTCCATCTTTAACAGTCACACAGATTTCAGCTGCTACTCCTGGAGATTTTCCTTCTCTTGTAGGGTGATGGGTATATTCCCAGTATTTATTGGTGAATTGTTGTGGGAGGGGCTTCACTGCAGGCGTGAACTGTGATCACTGTGTTTTTATCCAATCTGCATTTAAAAAGTACAGGAACATCATGTTAAACTGAGCAGCTGAAAAACCTCTTTGTCTCCAAAAGTTCCCTGTTTTCAGCTCATTCATTATGTAGACGGTGGGCCGAACGCTGCTATCTACTTTAGTTTTTGAAATGATAATAAATGAAATGACGGAGTACTATACCTCTAACCAATTAAAAAACTAATTCTATCGTCACGTGACTAACGTCTGACAATAGTATTTCTTCAAACTATATTACCACAACTGTAACTTAGCACATGCGTTCTCATAGCTAGCCTGCCACAGCCATAGCCATGAGTTCATGACATAAAATCTTCTCTGACGAAATCTACACAATCAAACATTTTCCAGCAGGAATCCTAATCCAAATTTGAGAAACATTAACAGTGGCATCCAAGATTCCAGGTGTAACGTAAATGGCTCCGGTAAGTGCTGCTGTTAACCTGTCTTATGACGTTAGCTTTGTGCACACAGAGCTAACGTGTTAGCATGTAAAAGTTAGCTAGATGTAATTTTAGCAGTGCATGTTAACGTAAACAGTTATTCTATTAGTTATTCTATTAGGCTGTAGTGCCGTTAATTAGGATATGAAAGACGATTGCTAGACATATTAAAGTGGAAGTACTAGAAAGTACTAGACATATTAAATCATATTGGTATACATCTAGTTTTTTTTTTTTTTAGTTTAGTTAGTTTTATTTCAGGAATACACTGCCTCTCGGCCCACAGTTCCAAAGTCACAATAGCATGACAGATGCTCTTTTTTTCAATCCATGATAAATATACTATGCCAATCTCCATGCATGCTTTGACTCACAAACCTGTGACACATCAACACCACCATCACCCACAAGTGTGAGATCACTCAAATATTTCTAACGCAGATCAGTGTAATAGAACCGTTTTTTTAAAGCACATGATCTGTTCTTTCTTTTGACATGTTCAGATATTGTGAAAATGACCAAAAACACTAATGGTGGCTGATTTTTATTTTTAATGTTGGTTATTTGGATGATTATTATTAGAAATGAATATGACTGGAATCATATTTTCAGTTTTTCATATTTTGAACAGGGTCAATTAAACATGAAAAGAAAGGGAGAGATATCAGAGTTCTTTTTAAAGAAGCACAGACAGACAGAACAGGTGCAATTGCAAACAGACCCCAGCCCTTGCATCACTGGAACCCAGAGCAGCCTGTGGTTAGTCAGAGTCAGGGTGGTCAGACTTCAGGACCAGCAACAGGTCAGAGCATCTAGACACAGGCAGTCACATCCCGAATTCAGGAATTTCAGTTGATATGATTTTGTCAGATTAAAAGTATAGTTCACCCAAAAATGAACAAAAAAAGAGATATTTTAAAGCATGTTGGTAACCAAATAATTTTATAAATAAAATAACCTGACACATGCTACTGTATCTTATCTCCTTGGTGCTTCAGCTTAGTTTTCTGATAATATTTTGGATGTTCAACACTTATTACAAACAGAGTGACCCAATTACTTCCACTGTGTGTGTGTGTGTGTGTGTGTGTGTGTGTGTGTGTGTGTGTGTGTGTGTGTACCCCCCAAAATAGCAGTGGCCACCCCATGTATAAAACTCTAGTTCCGCCACTGGTGTACAAAGAACAATCATACAAGAATTGTTTCTCATCTTCAATCACCAAGGTATTAGTTAAGTAAGGGTTAATGCCCGACGAGGTGTCCATTGTCAGGTTTTAATGGACGACGGTGAGGCGTGAACCGACCGACGCGCAGCGGAGGACGGTTGCCTCCGCCGAAGTCCATTAAAACCTGACAATGGACACCTCGGAGGGCATTAACCCGCTTATACCATGGTCACTTGCCAAATAAAACATTTTTAAAACATTAGTTTATATTTTAATTAGGCAAAATCTAGTTTTTTCAAATAATAAATTGCCTGACGATTTATTTAGCAACTTGAGATATTTATAGTCCACTCAGCTTGTAGAACCCTTCAGGTTCAAAAGTGCATTTTTTTTTTTCATGAAAAACAAAGGTAGGCATAGTTATTTTTTTATTACACATAAAACACTATGGGGCGGTTTCCCGGACAGAGATTAAGCCTAGTCCAAGAATAAAATGGCCCTTTAAACCTGATTAACAGAAATCTGCTTTCTATGTCATGGCTTTAAATAGTCCTAGATTTAGTTTAGTCCAGAGTTAAATAAGCCGATTTCCTGGAGGAAGACTACAGTTACTCCAGGACTAAATTGAGTCTTAAATGAAACCTACCAGGAGGCAGGTTTAACTTCAGATTAACTTTGTGTTTCAAAGAAGACACCTGCATTACTTGGATACACACACACACACAGCACATATATTAATCGCACATATTTCATTTTAACATTTAATTATGTTTTAACACCATTGAATCGTGTTTCTTGTTAAAATGTGATTAGTTAATGTTAAACTACACTCTTAGAAGAAAAGGTTCTATATAGAACCTTAAAAGGTTCTATCAGCGCTACATATTTGGAACCCCTAAAAGGTTCTATACACTCTTAAAAGGGTTCCTCTGGGTTCTATATAGAACCCTGGGGTTCCATACTTGGCCAATAGAACCTTTTACCAAAAAATGCTTCTATATAGAACCATTTTGTACTTCCATATATGAAGCGGGGGATGGAACCATTTCTGGTTCTAAATAGAACCATTTTTTCTAAGAGTGTAACTTGAAATGGTCACTCTTTGACTTCACTTGATGTTTAAACTTTGAAATATGTTTCAATCTAGTAACCCAGTCATACATTCACTTCCCATCATGCTTTGCACAAGGCTGAAATGTAAATTTTGAAATAAAGTGATATTTTATGCAATTATTTTAGTAAGATGAGAAAACGGAGAGAATGTTTAATGTTCTATTATTATGTTGTTATTTAAACGTAGTATTTTTGGGGGTTACCATTTTGGTGAAGTGTTGAGCCTGTGCTTGGAGCGAGGACCTGCTACAAAAAATTCAAGTTATATAATTAATAAAGCAACCACTATGATACTACTCTAGTAGAAATTATTACTTCTAGTAATGCAACACTAAACACCACATGTGTAAAGTAAAGTTTGTTATGTAAATTACAGGAATAAACAAGAAGCATTAATTATAGAGTTGTTTGAATAATTAACTTTAAATGAAAACCATTTATTGTTAAAGAACACTATTGATTCTAGTCGTGCATCGTTGATTTTATATGCATGTATTTCGTTATATATATATATATTTATATATACATACACATACACAAACAGATTTCCTGACATTGCTTCTCTTTTATTCCATAGCCGGTGTGTGCAGATTATTTAGCTTGCATAAAAATAATTTTCTCTTGTTAGTAAATGTTTTTTTTGATTGCAGTCTTTTTCTGATGCCATTGTTTTCCTTGGATTTGCTTCTCAGTTCCATGCGATTTTAAGCTTTTCGTGGTTCATTCCGTGTTTTATAGGCAACCTCTGTCATGCTAATTCAGATTAGCACAGTTGGTTTTAATTTAATCTGATTTATTTTACTTCAGGACTCCATAGTCCAAGTGCAACTAATCTGTACTTAATCTGTGTTACAAAAAGACATTTTTTAAGACACGATTAACTATTATAGATTAAGGCCTACTCCAGGCTTAATTTAAACCCTGTCCGGGAAACCGCCCCTATGTGTTACACTAGTCTACACTAACCACAGCCTCCGAAGCACCGCTGTATGTCGACTCTCCGATGCTGGACTGGAGATCCGTCAAATAATGTTGGTGACAGGCCAACGATGCGAGAGCAGTCTGCGGGCTTACTGGGCTCCGTCAGTCCGTGAGAGACTGAAGATGAAATAACAAAGTCGCTCATTGTTGTATTAGTAGGCTATGTAATATCTAACTAACGTTAGATATTTGTTTTGATAGAGCAAATTGTTAACGGGTACTTTGACTGCCTGTTGCTATGGTTACTCACAGCTGTTGTAGGCAGCGCATTTATTTATTAATTTCGAATGGTAAACAGGCAGTTTCACCAGAACTACTTTAATAGATGTCCTCTATGACTTTTTAACGGAGAACATGGTATAATTTACAATAATTACAGATTTTCTCTGACATACTACAGTAGGTATATTGTTCCATCTACCCGTTTCTATGGCTAAACAGTGCCCTGAGGATCTAAACAGTAACAGAGATCGTACCAACTGTATGTTATGTATAGATGCAATGTAGCTCTCCCGTACCACCATTGACTTGCATTGTGAGTATATATGCAGCTTTTTATTATCTAGAACTGATGTGTACCATGCTTTTTCTGCTCTTTCTCTCAATCGTTGATTTAGAATAGATGTAAATATTCTTATATCACCTACACTTTGAGCCTCCCAAGCACTAGATAAACCATTGAGATACAATAGAACACGAATACAGGACACCCAGGAATTTCTACCTACTTCATCGAACTGAAAAAGCATATTATAACATTTTCTTGGATACCGGTAATTAGGCATGGACACTAATTTTATCCAGTACACGATGCACCTTTTCATGTAAGTAGTAGACAATACAAATCTACCCAGGGCGCCCAGAACAGCCACATTTGCTCACACCCTCAAGTCTCACGCATTGACCGTGAGACACACGCAATTCGACCGGTTCACACGCTCACACGCCACACTGTGTATTTCTCACGCTGAAAGTGCAATGCCAACCAAGTTGTCCTGGCTGAAAGCTTTCTAACGTTGTATACGAGGCGCAGGCAAACAAAGTGAAGTTTCCTGCCGCCAGCGCGTATCTCCGCCAGATTGCGTTCGTTACTAGGCAACATATATGCGCGGTGCGTGCACCACTGATCTATACAATAGCCGTTTCTCAATACCAAGTACGCAGACTTCGGACTTGCGTCCTTGGTAGTTCAGACTTGCCAAGTTCGACTCCGGAGAACGAACTCCCGAGGATGCAAGTCCGGTTCTTCTGCAAATGGAACAGAGCGTACTTGATTGCGTCACTCAGCACGCTCTACTCTATTTTTTAGGCAACAATAAAACGAAATTTGCTACAACTCTGCATCTTTTCGTCAAAAATAAAACGAAATATGTTATAAAACACCCCTCTGACTCTTTTCATTAACAAAAAAACAACATAGCCTATTAGCCTAATGGCCATGTGGTTCAGGCAACGCGATTCTCTTCACTGCATATATTTATAACAAAATGAACACGATCTTTTTGTTTTCATTTTAAAAATATGAAACATTGATTTTTATTGACATTGATCAAACAGAGACAGGGTTATGTGATTTTATTTTATTGTTCATATAGTGAAGATAATATAAAAAAATGTTGTTGAAGTTACATAGCCATGAAACCTCAAAAACTATTTTTTTTTGCGCCATACTATAGTTTAATGAGACCAAATAAGATAGACTTATACACAAGACGAATTATACGTCAAGGTTTATCCACTAGACTAGAGAGATCAGAGCCGGCGGCAAACGTCAGAAGCACTAGCCGAGGATAAGCTGTTCCAGTCTGGGTTGATCTTGCCGAGTGTCCGCTGAAGGCTTGGATGTCAGAACTCCGAAAACGTCAGATGCATTTTTCTGATAGGCGCTATCTTTATAAATAAACTACAGATTTGAGATTTAAACAACCACATTCTCGCCTGAAACACTCTTAAAATTACATTTAATGACTCAATAACAGTAGTATTTTGATATTTCGCGGATTTTCTCCTCTCCTATTGACGCTTGCTGGTTGGTGCGAGGTGCATTCTGGGTTACCTGGCTATCTCAAGTCCACACAAGTCACCTCTCGATGCATCCTCGGTAAAGGGGGCGGATCAAGAACACATCCGGGGATTTGAAGTGGACTTGGCTAGATGCGAACTTTGAATTGGAACAGTACTTTGGCAGCGACTGATGATGTTTCACAAGTCCACAAGAACACAAGTAGCCAACAGACAAGTACGCATATTGAGAAACGGCTAATGACCTGTCATTCAGTAGCACAAACACACGGAAATGGACGGAACATCCTCGGCCACCGTACGTTCGTTACTAGGTAACCAACAACATCGCGCGGACACGTGTCATGATGGAGAAGAAGGTAAGTTGGAAGAAGCTCGTCTAAAATTTTTAGGCTAGAACATTTAATATGTAGCCCATCGTACATTATTATTGATGCAGTCAAAAACTCTACAACTACTTTGCAGCCAGGCTCAGTTTGGCTATGTTACGTTATCTGAAACTAAGAGAAATGTTAGTGGGTATGGAAAGGAATGAAGATTTACTGATTTTATTTTAAATTATATTATACTGTAAAATGAATAGTCTTTCTAGTTACATTAAGGATGTATTACAGCAGATTGCTCTGGGTAATATTTAATCATTGTCATAATGTTGCATTTGTATTTTTCAAAGATGTCAGGAAAAAAGCAGAAAGATATTTTGTCATTTTGGGCACCAAAGGGTAAGCCCCCTAAAAAGGTTGCAGATTAGAGGAGGAGACAGTGGAAGAGATGGTGGCAGAGACGGTGGAGAAGACACCAAGTGAGACAGTAGGAGAGACAGTGGAAGAGAGCACACAGGAGACAGAGGAAGAGAAGAGCACACAGGAGACAGTGGAAGAATCAGTGGACAGGGCAGGAAAGAGAAAAGCTTGTGGAGCAGCCACTTATAGGTGTACATTCAAAAATTAGTGGACAACTAAATGGCCATTTATCACCAAAGGCACTAGCAGCTCCTATTACTGGTGCTCTCTTTGCAGACAGGAGAATTCATGTGCCCATCAAGGTGTGACTGATGTCAACAGGCATGTTAAAAGCAAAGGGCATCAGTCCAAAGAACAGGCACTTCAGTCAGCAAGTGGGATTGCAAAGTTTTATGCTCCAGTTTCTGTTGGTGGCATAACAGAACAAGAGAGCAAGGTACATTGTACATATGAAAACCAAAAGACAGGCAGTAATATTAGATGAATTTTGTTAACATTGTAGGATGTATTAACAATTATAAAAACACTTATGTTGCATGGTATGCTTGATTTAGTGCTTTATATAACCCTTCTGCTTTCTGTTGCAGACAAGGAGAGCTGAGGTAAAGGTGGCTGTTGCAATGGTCCAACACAATGTGCCATTTGCAGTAGCAGACCATTTCAGCCCATTGTTAAAGGAGTGCTTTAAAGATTCGACCACAGCACAGGATTTTAAGTGTGCGGGCACTAAAACAGCGTGCATTATCAATGGAGCAGTGGCACCATATTTTAGAAATGAATTGGTGATGAAAATGAGGGAAAATCCTTTTACATTGATCACAGTTGGGTCAAATGATACAGGTATAATGTTGACAGCTACTGTAAACAGTACATTTGTTTGTTTTAAATATATTCTGCAACCCATTCCTAGAACACACACATACACACACTTAATTTCGTACAGATGTGTGACTTTAATTATGTAAAACATGCAACTTGTCTTTGCAGGTCGAGATGAAATGAATCCACTCACTGTGCGGATATATGACAGTGACACTAACAAAGTTGTCCATAGGTTTCTAGATATGTGCACCACCAGTGGCCGTAGCTGTGGCACAGCTGAAGTAATCTTTCAAAAGATGAATGAAGTCTTGTAGAAAAACGCTATTTCATGGGGTAACTGTGCAAGTCTGTCCATTGACAATGCACCTGTCAACACAGGAGCAAAAAATTCTATTTCATCAAGAGCACTCAATGAAAATGGAAACATTTACATTCATGGGTGCCCCTGCCACATCATCCACAACACGGCCAAACATGCTGGGCAGAGGTTTTTGGATGTAAGTTTGATAATGTCAATGACCTACAGTAGCTGTGTAATGCCATGTAAAATAGTTTGCTGTGCTGGATTGTAATGAATATGTAACTAATTGGAATGTGATTAAATTGTCCTTTATTGCAGGTAACTGGATTTGATCCAGAGGACCTGTGTGTGGATGTTGCATACTGGTTTAGGGGAAGCACCAACCGTAAAGGATATCTGTCAGGTTTGTTACTTAACATGCACCTGTTGCATGCAATGGAAATGCAGAAGATTTTCTTTGAATTGATATAATGGATTATATATTTTCATCACAGAATTTTGTGACCTCCACGAAAGTGACTATATGGAAATGCTACAGCATGTTTCCGTTCGATGGTTGAGCCTGGAGAGCTGTGTGAATCGCATTCTGCAGCGGTATGAGCCACTCACTAGCTACTTCAAGTCCTTAGGTAGGCTGAATATTTCATTATGCTGTTGCAAGATTATTGCACACACACAAAAAAAGAAACATAAATGTCTGTACTGTGCATAACCTGTACTTTTTTATTCACAGATGAGAAACAACCAAGGTTCCGAAGGCTGGTGGATGCATTTTCCAACCCACTTACGGAAGTGTACCTCCTCTTTTATCAAGCAACATGACATCATGACTTTTGCGTAAACATATACGCCACTTTCGAGTCAGGTGGCGTGTTATCTCTACGCATTTTGAGCTATCCGCGTGTATCCGCGTGTATGCGTATATGTCTACGCCATTAACGTCCGCGTCATTCCTCGTCTCTGTACACGCAGTCAAATCTCCAGTCATAAATGCCATTTACCTCAGTGACGGTTAAGTTTAGGGATGGGGGTTGAGGTAAGTCATATCTTTTTTTTACCTAGGATGGTAAGGGAACAGTCATAAATGCCATTAACCCCAGTGACGGTTAGGTTTAGGGACGGGGTTGAGGTAAGTCATATATTTATATAACGTTAAGTCAACGGCGTTCATAAACACGCTGAAAGGCGATTATGCATCTTGATAGCACGCCAAAAATGGAAATACGAATTGGCGTGTCATACACACGCTACTTCATGAGATCAGTTTTAAAACATTCTTCCAAATATCTTCCTTTGTGTTCAGCAGAACAAATAAACACATAGAGGTTTGGAACAACATGAGGGTGAGTAAATACTGACAGAATTTTCATTTTTGGGTGAACTAACCCTTTAAGGTCTAATGCTTAATTTTCTTTTCAAATGTGACCGGTTTGAGCCGATTTGGAAGGCTGTCAAAGATTGCCAAACTGGTTTTAATTCTTCCCCACTCCAATGCAGATGCCAAGAGAGTGTTCTCTGTTGTAGGTTTGAACAAAACCAAAACCAGAAACAGGTTGGCTCTGGACGGAACACCGTCATCCATGACAGTGAAAATTTCTGGCATCGAGCCACAGTGCTTCAAGTGGGAGCCCCCTACCCCTGTTATCAAGGCATCAAAATGTGCAACAAACACTTACAACACAAAACACATTTCATAAGCTGGAGTATGTACTCTTGTGCACACACACACACACACACACACACACACACACACCTTTAATACTCTAATCTGTCCATTTGTTCTCAATGTCCCACCACACAATAAATCATTCGTCTAGAAGACGCATTCAAAATGCAAAAAGATTTGTTTGAAACTGTTTGGAGCAATTTGTTATATTTTTGGTTAGCTATATTTGTAATACTGCATTAAAGAGTATATTTGATGTGATGAATTGCTCCGTCATTTATCAGGTTTACTAATTGTTATAATTTCAATTTGTTCTGGTTAATTATGAAAAATGGGTAAAATTGGGGGCGGGGATGGGTGGGGCGGGGCTTCATTATGGCTCCTTCATTAAAGCTTTTGCTCTTGAAAACTTGAAAACCCTGCGTACTGACACAAAGGAGTCTTTTACAGAAGGAACATTCTCAATACACTCCACTGGTTCAAAACCCCATATCTCAGATCCATAATACAATATGGGTGCAACCATGTGGTCGAACAAATACAGCGCTTGGTTACAGCTAAATTTATGCTAATGAACAAACCTCAATAAAGAGAGCATTGCCTTCTTTCCTTAGTTTGCTAAGTGTTGTCGAGTTTTCCACCATGATAATTTTGGTGTAAACCATATACCTAGACATTTATAAGCGTTAACCACTTCGATCTGTTCACCAGCAAACTGCCATTTTTCATTCTTATTTAAATAGCCCCCTCTTCTAAAAACTTAGTTTTACTCAAATTCACTCTCATACCGTAGCGGTTACAGAATGTTTCGAGCTGTTCAATTTCCTTCTGCAATCCACCAATTGTGTCTGACACATTAACCATATCATCAGCATACAACAAGGTCTGTACTTCTGAGATACTTTCGATTTGAATACCTTTGCCTCTACAGTTTTCCTTTAGCATAGTTATATATCCGTTTAGAAAAAGAATAAACAAAAGAGGACTCACCATAAAGCCCTGTCGTACACCAATGGTACAGTCAAAATACTCAGTTAAACCATCAATTCCTTTCACACATGATTTAAGTTTAGAATACATAGATTTCAGTACACCAAAAACTTTTCCAGCAATGGGCTATATGCACGCATAAGTTCCGCATTTGACGTAAGGATGCTCGTCCATTTCCGGTTGTGTAGATTAAAGCGGAGGAAAACCGGAGAAAACGGGATTATGGCAGAGTCTTCAATATTTACTGTCCTCCCGTCTTTGAAACGAAACGTACATACGTTTAGATGTAATTTTATATATAGTTATGTTTATTTAATATAATTTTAAAAAGAAGCATTAACACAACGAGGGGTGTCTGTTTTATCTGTTTTTGTGACTAACGTTTCATTAGTATAACCATGGAGTATAAAATTCAATATAAATTCTCGGTATTGCATTGGACTCTATGATCGGCGGAAGTTATCGAGCATCCTTAATCCTTCACCGGAAATAACGCCGTGCATAGAGCCCATACCATTCCTAATGAGTGTAAAATACAGGAGACTATGCTGTATACCATCAAAAGCTTTGGAAAAATCAATAAATACACAGTACATCCTTCCTTTACGCTTTGTAATATATTTCTGAATAACCGACTGTAGGATAAGAATATTATCCGTTGTGGAGTAACCTGACCCACCTGTAACCTGCTTGTTCTTCATAAAACATATTATTTGCTTCTAAAAAAAAATAGTTAGTCTCCTGTTCAAAATTTTTGTAAAGATTTTACTAAGTACATTAAGCAATGAGATTCCTCTATAATTTTCAACATTGCTTCTATCACCACTCTTATATAATGGGCAAATCACAGCTTCACACCAAGCCTCAGGGAAATCACCTGTATCCAATATTTTTTTATATAAAGAGAGCAAAATAGGACACAACATGAGTGATGCTGCTTTCATCATTTCAATGATCATGCCATCTGGACCGGGGGCTCTTCCATTGCTCATGGACATAATAGTTTTAATCATTTCATCATAGGTAATGTTGCTATCCAAAACTTCAACTTGTTTAAAAACTTCAACTTGATAAAAATTTACAGTTTCGTGGGCATTCAGACGATTTACCACAATTTTTCAAAGTCTTTATCCATATCAAATTTTGAATCGGACAACAACGTGCTAAAGTATTTTAACCACTTGTCGTCCTTGATATCATTTGCCTTTGTGTTAAATTTTCCATAACTTTTATCTTTCTTCCTCAACTGTCATGTTTTCATGTCATTCTGTAATACATTAGCTAAAACATTTGAGTACAGCTTTTTTTTACTATTACATATGTTTTTAAAATGTTGCCTCTCAAGGACATAACTGTTCAAATTGCTCACATTACCTGTTCTTCTGAATTGATTTAATGCATTATTTTGTACACGTTTCTGAGATGAACAATCTTTATCCCACCACATTGGTTGTTTACTTTTCGACTTAACTTTATTAATCAAAGTTCTACCTGCTTCATGTAAACAGAATCATAACTGCTACATTAATATTTTCTTCCACATTAGTAAGAAAGCTATTAAAAAAATTCACCATTCAATAAATAAGATAGTCTTTGCAGAAATTGCCTCTCACCATCAATTCCCCATTTATCCATGTTATCCAGGGTCTAGCCAGACTGTCATTCTTCATTTTAATCCTTAAATCAACCCTGTTTGCTCTAATAGTATACAATAATGGGAAGTTATCAGAGATATCCACCTGCAGAATTTCAAAATCCAGACTGATCTCAAGAAGTAGCGTGTGTATGCCACGCCAATTCGTATTTCCATTTTTTGGCGTGCTATCAAGACGCATAATCGCCTTTCAGCATGTTTATGAACGCCGTTGACTTAACGTTATATAAATATATGACTTACCTCAACCCCGTCCCTAAACCTAACCGTCACTGGGGTTAATGGCATTTATGACTGTTCCCTTACCATCCTAGGTAAAAAAAAGATATGACTTACCTCAACCCCATCCCTAAACTTAACCGTCACTGGAGTAAATGGCATTTATGACTGGAGATTTGACTGCGTGTACAGATACGCGGAATGACACGGATGTTAATGGCGTAGACATACACGGATACACGCGGATAGCTCAAAATGCGTAGAGATAACACGCCACCTGACTCGAAAGTGGCGTGTATGTTTACGCAAAAGTCATGATGTCATGTTGCAAAATCGCTGACATGAAGTAATCACACTGCATCCATTTTCATATAAGTATCTTTTCCTACTCTCCCATTTACAAAATGTATATTTAAACTACGACACATATCCAAAAGACAGTGACCAAAAATATTAACAACCTTATCTTTTGATTTTCTATTCCATTCAAAATAATCATTTGTGTAATATCTACCACATGCTATATATTCAGTTATTAACTCACTGTTATTGACTTTCGTCTTTAACCCTTGCACATACCATGAGTTCATAGTAAATTTGTCTGGGCCGAGGCCAGCATCCTACCTTGCACGAGTGTCAAATGTGTCTTCATTATTCAGTCCAATTTCTACCACAGACTATGACTTGTAGACATAAGTGAAAACTCTGCCGTCCACAAAAAGTTTATCAAAACCAAGCGACATCCCTACAGTATGTTAGGTTGATTTAGACAAAGAGTTTGCATGTAGTTAACCAGCTTTCTCTTTATCTCACGCACTCGAGTGCTAAAGTCCTCCGACACCCGGATTCGGCCACTGGATCCATCCTCTTTAATGTTACTTCGTTCACGCCATTCTCATGTTTTCTGTCTCGCCTTCTGAAAAATCTCATCCTTATCCTTCCACCTGGAAAAAACAGACAACCACCGGTCGCGCTCTCCCAGGTGATCTCTTCCCAACCCGGTGAGCACGTTCGATCGGTAGTTCCACATCACTTTTGGCTCGGATAGTAGGATAGTAGGTAACATGGTTTACATCTACTAACTACATCAACTAATAGCTAGTCATGGAAGAGATAACATGTAACGTTATTAGCTAGCTACATACGATTACATCAACTACACAACCTAACGTTACTAGCTAGGTATGGAAGAGATAACATGTATTAAACAGGTTTACATCAACAGCAGATATCCTTATAGCGAAGTCATGGAAGAGATACCACATATTAAATAACATTACATGTAGAGCTGGG